GCGTGCGTCGGCGGCGGCGTGACCTAGTTTCGACGGACACGCGCAACGAAGCGCACCCGAATAGGTTCCATCTCGGTGTGCCGCCCACTTGGTTCTGAAGAGAAATGTGATGCTTTTAACTGTTGGTTTCGTTCGAAATTAAATTGCAGCCCAGTGTTTTTGACCTGGTCAATGGACTTTGAAGAGCATCCGTGTCCTAGTCTTACTAAAGCAACATGAGAATAATTGTTATAATAATGACCCCCGCATATGTGGGATTCTCTTCGCGACCAACAATTACGGACAATAAACTTTGTAATATTGTCAAAAGTAGAAATAGTTACAACACGCCCTACTTGATAGTGTTAAACCTGAAACGATTCCTAATGTATGGAGAAGTTTAACATCACCTTGCCTAAGCTAACTTTGGAAAGAACTTCACAACGAGTTAGCTCCAACATGGGAAATAATGAAATACAAATGTCGGCTTTGCTGGAACCACGGTGGCAGCAGCGACTGTCTAGTCTACTTCTCCTTGTGGCAAAGTAGACATACATTTCGGCTAGTGTTGCTTTTTGTAGTTTTCTTCAGCATAGTTCGATTTATAATTATTCACTTATTCAGACATCGATTAAATTTTTTTGTTCCTAAAGATGGTTGTTTGTTGTTTACAGGATTCGGTTGTTTTTCTCTCTTCTTATAGTCCCTCTTTATGGGAACAAAATGGCGNATATCAAATATTGCGTGACTACTCTTTGTCTACCGTTGCTCGCTCTTTCTTGACCCTTTCTTGCTTGCCACACGATTCGTTTATTGTCGCTGTAAAACGAGAGTAATACCATCACTGTACTGATTCGGCAATGGCACGAATTGAAAAGGCCGAGTCACGATGTTGCTGGTCAAGAGATTCGCGCGTGGGCTTCTGGGGCCTTTTTATAGTGAGAAGACGGTTAGGGTGGAGGTAGCCTACCCGAATTTTCATGGCAAGCTGCATAAGTTTTACGACGGTCACCGTATTCTTCCACTAGAGTTGAAATCTCTCTTCCAAAGTTCAAACTGCGACCGATCGGGTGCGGCGAGTGATCGGGTAGAAGACGTTGAACACAAATGCTGTGGATGACACTTTATTTTTAATGAAAGTCATAGAGATTTTCGTGGTCATCGCATCACAGCACCATGCAAATGGTCATATCAAGTATCCTACTATATAAAATTCGCTAAGTGTGTCTGTTGGTTAGTCGGTGTGTTTGTGTTTGTGTGTGTGTTGTGTGTGTGTATGTGTGTGGGTGTGTGTGTGTGACCGGAAATTCATAACGCCTGTCCCCGTAGACCTAGAGACATCTGATAACGGTGCTATCATCTTTCAGAACATCTCCACAGCATCATCTTGGATTGTCCAACAGTTGGATTTTGATGGGTACTTATTTCTAAGACAGAGAGCAAATGTTCGAGACTTCCAAGCAAAGGCGTAAGCACTGACTTCAAGTGAATACCATTTGCACTGCCCTGTTAGTCCTGTGTCAAATTTCGTGTACAGGAAACTGTCATTTGTTTCAAAAAAGGAGTGGAAAGTTAGACGTACTATAGCTTTATCATAGAATTAGGGAAGCTTTCGATTTCTGTTGTGTCAAAGAAGGATTTTAAGCTCTGTTTCAGTCTCATACTCTCACTAAGCTAAACAGCGGAAAAATTTAAAACTATAAATTTTGAAAGAGGGAAAAATTTTCAGTTCTTTTTTTCTTTGGATAGGGTGTTTGACACAAGAAGAAGGAGAGCCTGGCGTTAGCCGGGTAATCCGACTGGTATACCTCATAAATACATACTATGCACGCGAAGTATTGTCCTCTTACGCATTGGTATCAGTGGGTTTTATTCATATTCTCTGATTATGAGTTTTCGAAGAAAACAAGTAAGCCAGAGGATTATATGTACCGTAAGCATAATGAGAGCAATGTTTATGAATCATACAAACTGAAATTTTATCACTAGCAAGGCGCAAACGTAGAACTAGTGCACCGACTGTTGAGCAATTGTGACAAGGACAAAGTGATAACTGCTGTGCGACCGCTCGCATAACATTCAAATTATGTGTACGTATGATGGCTCATGCATGCAGCTGTATGGATGAGATAAATGATAATTTCAAAACAATTCCAAAGAAAGCACTCTGGTTCTCTCTAACGATAAGTTGTTGCGTAACTTACACTGTATACACAGCTATGCACTATTGCCAATGATTCTTAATGAAATGATGACATGCCGCTCAGTTCAGTTGACGAGCAACTCATCAATTTACAGTTATACACTAAGACGTAATGGATTCACGTCGTTCTATAACCGTTGCTCACATCGGTCTGAATGGCAAGGCCTGGTTTCATATTCCGGCGGTGGACAGAACTCGCTTGCCCTTTTTTGTCGTTGTCGATAACCTGAATGAGAAAACTTGAAGAGCAAACTCCAATAGGTTGCGATGAGCTTGAGACATCAAATTTTCGTTTTTTGCAGCTGACATTAACGCTGGCTATCATAGCATGACCTTTGCTCCTCACAGAGCAATATGGTGCGTCATGTTGCAATGACCGGGTCCTCTCACGAGAGATGACTGTAACGCTATCAAAGATAGATCCCACCTCATGTTTTTAATGTTTTAACACATTTAGCCAACATCGGCTGCCAGATATTTGGTTAACGAAAAAGTCCTGTTGGTATTTCTATCAGAATTTAAGTCAATACTCGAATACAGTGACTGTAATACCCGAACAACCTACTGGTTTCATGTTGTAGCGGTTGAAATCGAATGCTTGGCGGGCTTCGTCACCTCAATTGCTACTGTCCTCTATTAGTGCTCAGTACCTCCTGTCATCCATCATAAACATCGTACGACCCTCACATTATGTATGCCGGTTGCAAATGTGAAGCTGTACACTCAGGGTGACTTTAGAGTACCTATTCAGTAACCTTTTTTCATTAGATTTTTTTCACTTACTGTTGCTTCTATGTGCGCCTTACCGTAACAGCCGATTCTTCTACGGAAGATGACCGTAACACTAAATCCAACAGGACGGCTTCACTAGTTCAATATTTCAACACTTCCATACGATGTATGGCTATTAATTTATCATCTATCCGTCTTACAGGAACTAGACTTTTTGTCGACAAGGAAGTGGAAGCTGACAGGATGGAGGGTTAAGGGAGCACAGAGAACAATTAAACGAGAAACTATTTGCATTCACAAAGCTGGTTTCTAACAATAATTCAAACCGTACAATTCCGACACGTGCTGAACAAGTGTTGAAGTTTAGACATTAGATTAGCGATACGTTTTCAATTATTTATCATTTTTTATAAATCAGGAAATGCAAAGGCCCTCAGTCAGCTCAAGGAAACGAGCTTGACCTCTTCAGTAAGCTTATCCCTCATTTCTGTTTATTCTACATCTGGTTTTTAATAACACCTCAGTAGAAACTCACCCAGCGATTCAACTGGCTGTCGGGAAGCGTCCCCCATTAGGCATAGGCTTTTTCGGCTCTGGACTCCACAATTACACACCGACCAGTCACTCCATTCAGCTGAAGAACTAGTTTCTGAAAAATTCTTGAAAATCTGGAAATGATGTCTCCTAGGAACAGTTTGTTGTGCGAAGAAGTAGTATATCCAGAACGTACTGTGCTCACGTGAAGTTCGACTAACTCTATCGACCTTCTCCTTGTCTACTTTGATGACTGGATCACTCGATGCATCGTCTTTGAGGATGAATGATTCCTGCTCCGAGATCACTTCAACACCTGAGGGAAGTCGCGAAATTTCCTGAAATTACTGGCTGTTAGATAGGGCTTAAATATGGCCTTTAAGTAGGGGAAAAGGATTAATACAGCCAGAGAAAAATGAGTTCAAGACAATTTTTTGTACAAGGTGAACATACTCATCTGCGTTCAAATTGACAGTAGGACCTTTGAGATTGCTTTCTGACGATAGCTAAACCCTGTGGAGTTGGTAATTGGTAGATCTTTCACAACTCGCTTGTGGCTTTGATAGGAAAGATCTTTGTTCACACTGTTGAGTTGGGTGTAAGGGGTCGGGAGAAAGACCCTTTCAGTTTTGGCAGAATCGAGGGAGCATAGGTGAGTTAAGCAAAAAGATATAAAGATTTGGCAATTCAGAAAGTTCGCTCACGTAACTTTTCTGATGTGAAACCGATTCCATTCGTTATTCATTGATGGTCCAAAATGGCACAAATACATGGTATTAAGCATAGTTTCAACGTATTCAACCTGTCCTTTTTGAACTCAGCAACCCCATGTCTGGGGGTGAATGACGGGCGATGAACGTAGCAGCTATCTCCCGCCCCCCTGCCACCTTGCCATAGAAAGGTAAATAGAATAGTAGAATCAGCGGCAAGCAGATCTCTGATTTAAAACCACAGCGAAAATCGGTCATGTGTAATGTTCGCCAAATTGCTCGAAAAAACAAAAAATATTTCTCGAGAGTGTAGGGATGGAAGAATGTAGTCTGCCATGATCTACCGCTACCAAATAAAAATATGTGACTCAAAGGGACCGCAGAGCAACCGTTCTGGAAGCGGATGTAGCTGTAAGCGGGTGCGATGGTATTCGTCGAACAATCCACAACGAGGATCATTACGAACAATCACCTGCTCAGTGTCTCTATCGACTTTCTCAACGGCGACAGCATCGGAGATGGGTTGGCTTGGTTTTTCATTCACCATTTTTTCCACGGTCGCTAACATCCACGAAAGAGCTCTCGCGGTGTCTCCTTCGATCTTCTGTAAAACAAATAGTAGAATGATGTCATAATAAGCAGACAAGGCTCATGATTTATGCATAATACTATGTTGGAATCCTGATTGAAGCATTTATAAATGTCCTATGTCTCATTCAACTCGTGTAATGATTGCCTATAACATCTTTTGGTTGTGGAGGGCGTTTAATGTCGGGACAGAGACGCTAAACACAGCCTTGGGTGATCAGAGTGTACCTCGACATATAAGCATACTTTGTGAGCTTTACAAAAACTTCACGCCCGGGATCTAAATAGAAGGCAATGACAACATGACGGGAGAGGTTTGGCAGAGCGATACCATTTTGCTCAACCCCTTTTCGTTGAAAGGTAAGCTTGCAATTGAACCAACAAAGTTGATGTCTGTCTGATTAGAACCGGCTCGAGATGCTCCCTCTACGCTCAATGACGCAAAACATTTCTTACCAGTTAGTGCTGTATCTACGAGAACTTGGACCGAGAACTCAACATGATGGAAAACCGAACTCCACAGCAGAGCTGAAGGAAAGCACGGCGTTGAGAGCATTCGAGAACTTTGAAGGAGCAGTGGAGAAAACAAAAAGCACCAGAAATCACGCTTATCTTTCGACCCTCTAGCCTAGGCTTCAGAGAGTTGGACTCTAGGTCTGAAGGGTGATCGCACAGTCACAGTCATCCAACGCCATGTCAAAATGAAATCTCATGCGGTTCCCTGGTACAGGATTAGCAGAGGGTAATCTGGAGTTACGGGCTCTAATAACCAACGACCATAAAACGACGTCATTGCCTACGCCATGAAATTGAAATCAAGTAGCGTGGCAAAAGAAAATCGTCTTCGATATTGTGATGACTGCAGGACCATAGCGGTGAAGGAATAAATTTCTGCGTACGTAAAGCAAGTATCAGGTGGCCAGTCTGATGTTCGGACATTTCAGAGAACCTTCAAACGAATGGAAAGAAGCCTTTCGATTCAAGAAGGTTCATTGATACGGAGCCTAGGTCGCAAGAGGGACGAATGGAGATGTCTAGCTTTCAGTTAAGCGATAGATGATCTACAAAATGAAAGGCCTAACAGTGATTACTTCTATGGGAGCTTCAGTTGTCGGCGTCTTGACGACTTCGGCTTCAGTTGTCGACGTCTTGACGACTTCGGCTAGTTGTTTCTTCTTTTCTGAGATTCGCTTTTGCAGCTCGTCCATTTCGTTTTGCAACTCTGCCTTGCTCTTTTTGTGACTGACCTATAATCAGAAAACATTTTTCTTAAAAAAAAANAAAAAAAAACACAGAACTCTGGATTCATCCAAGGAGCCATTTATACAATACTTATTTAAATTTCTAACACTCTACGGAACAATGTCGTGTTCCCGTGGAACTTCCTGTCATACCGTAGTATATCATCGTAGTATATGATGCCCTTTATAAATATGAAAATAAAAATTGTCACCTAAATCTTTAATATGCTAAGAGCGATTAGAAATTGCTTGGAATGGGGTGGCCCAGGATCTGAGTTAAACCGTAGGCAGCTTGAACTTCTGTAGGGCGCCGGTTTCGCAATATAGCCGGTGGAACCAGATCTAATACCCATTTTATTCACTTTGGAAACCTTTTTCCAAAGAAATGGGATTTGTTATAAAAATTTCGCAACAGTATTGCAAACAAAGGTGGTGCCACCTGAGGGCCGCTCGAGGGTGTAGTGCTATGGGGGAACGGAAGGTACTGCTTCAGCCAATGATTTTCCTCATATTTCATCGAGGGAGGAGGGCATGGGTCACGACCAAACTACTCCCAGGACGCCTAACGGTAGGTTATTCCTACAAATATGACAATCCAGATACCCGATTGGTCCTCAGCGCCTTTTGATTTTATTAGACATCCACAGCACGACTTTCATTCGAAAATTCATTCAAAAGTGCATTGACCAAAGTCAATATTAAATACATACATACCTCAATTGTGAAGTTTGATGCATTGCTGGGCATCGATGGGATCGACTTCACTCGTATTCGTCGATTGAGCTTCTTCAGTCTGCGTCTGCGACTTTCTGTGCCCAGCGTATTATTCCATTCGCTCGTCTTTGAGGTGGAGAGCTTATTCTTTCTGCCTGATCGACTGAATTTAGAAGTGCGCACAGCTGGAACTTTCTCGATTATTCTTGGGGAGCCCAAGAATATACTCGTTGGCAGCAAATTGACGGCGGCTTTCGTCTTGGAAGCGCTCAGGTCTGATGTCGTCTGCATAGTTGTGGTACTTGGTATTTCACTAGTAGTCGTAGCTGACGTGCTAGTAACTGGTTTCGAAGACGTCGTGGTAAACTTGACTGGGATCTGCTCTGGTACAAACTCTCTTTCTTCATCCTCAGCTTCATCATAATCTTCAACTTCTATATCACTCGCGTTTGAAGAGGAGCCGCTTGCACTCCGCTGAGTGGTGTCGCTTTCTTCTGACTTCTCAGCAATCCTTGACTTTTTCATTACTTTCATTTCAGTAATGATTCTATTTCCAACATGGTTCCTTCCTGGCGATGTCGCCGTAGTCATAACAGGGCTCTCGGTGGAAGCTTGGATCGTGGTGGTAGTGGCAGCAATAGTGGATGTAGGCGTGATAGGGGTACTAGTGCTAACTGATGAGATAGGCGGTGCAGGTGATGAAGGTGTCCAAGGAACTGGAGGCAGTATCGTTGTTAGTATCGTTGGTCGATTGTTTGTGACAGGCTTGAAATCGTCGGCAGGCGAGAACTCGAGTTCTGGAACGAATCAAATTTCGATCAAGTCGCGAGCCTTTTTCATAATTTCTAAAAAACATTGAAAGCATAAAGGTTATAGAATGCTAGTTATTTTGCCGTTCTGCACAGAAACTTTTTTGTATAAAATAACGTCCCCCAAAAGACGGTCGATCGCCGGAGATCGATGCTTAATCGAACAATACGACATCGAGGAACAACTATTGCCTAACATGCAGAATTTTTAAGTCGCCGCCTTCCCAACTGGTCGTGGCTGAGGCAAGCAAGTGGCACCGTATTCGAGGAAAATGTTAAAATCTTTGGAATTTCAAAGACCTGTACCAAAATAGTTTCACAGCTGCACACACATTTATAAAAACTGAGGTCTCAAAGCTTAGAAGAATTTTTGAATCGCTCCGAAAAGGTGAATTGACCAATAACATCGTTCAAGTGATAAGCATAGTGGTGAATCCCATGCTGTAATGGCGTCAAAGTCCTCAAAAGAGTTACCACTATGAGAAAACTCTGCAAAAAGCTGGTTGACAAGTTCCGTCTATAACTGGACGAGAACGAAAAGGCCTATCAGAGGCAGAAGAATTCCTAAAGCTGTGTGAGTTCAGGAAATCGCATACAGTCTCATGTTTAGGTGGTGTTGCCCAGCCTTGCTCCCCGTTGAATAAGTTGTGGATGGGGTCACCGAGTGTAATGTCGTTCGTAGAGCTTGGTACAGATTGCCTTTCTCCAATATTAACTTTGGAAACAAGTATACTGCAAACCTTCATCCTCCTCTGATGGAGGTCGTGGAAAGCGCTCCGCATATTGTGCTATGATGAGGGGCTCACGTTCGGGCATCGGCGAAGCTGGTCTATATCGTGGTTTGGGTGGAACTGAAATCAAATTCATACTACCAGTACTTCATTCTACCAGTTCTTAGTCGAGTTTGTAGTTCTGCTGAGCTAAATCATGACTTCCTGTAAATTAGGTCTTGACTTACTTTTCTCATCGTCTGGAACGGCAACCTCGTAGTCCTCGTACAGCTGCCGCATTGCTAAGCGACGATCTTCGCTGTACGGATCCACGACGTCAACGTCCGGAAGAGCTCGAGGAGGCTCACCTGTTGCCCTGACGGGAATGCCAGTCGGTGAAGGTGTAAGATGGGCTTTGGACGAGTCGCACGATTGGAATTCCTGAAGTTAAGATGCCTGTCAAAAATTCTTTCTGGGAGCTTATCCAATGTATTCGAGGCAGACTTTGAATTGCTCAATTCCGCTTGAACACCCACAAAGACCCGTTCGGCCGTGGTCATGATGTACCTTTGTACAGCTGGTTCTAGGCAACGTACGCAGACGGTGTATTCAAGAAGAAGTGAAGACGTGGGAGAAACTTGTAGATAGAGAAAACTGTGGTCGCTCTTATACAGTACTGGTCAAAAAGAGATCACCTTGAACCTTTTTTCTCATAACTCATCTCAAACTCGATTTTTTTGAATGATTTTTTGGTATGTTGACAACAGCAATGTTTTATAATGTCCCCACCATAGAACTCACGAATCTTCCTTATATTTAGGTTGAAAAGCCATTTTTCACATTTTTCCTGAACAGGACAAAATAATACCAGTTCCATCAATTCAACATAAATCACTTGACTTAAACGCTATCATCGCGAGATTAAAACCTAAATAACTACTAACCTGATGCTTTGTAGCGAAGACGTTGGCATCGATGACGGCTTGGTATCTGCGGGTCATTGACTCGACCAACTCGTCGATCAGGCACTTATCAATTTTCTTCCATTCTTCTTCAAATTGGAAAAACCTCTCCAACCAAACACCACCTATCCTTTTTTTGAGTTCCTGCCACGAGGGCTCGATGATGTTTAGGTCGAAGGACTGGCCTGGTCCGTCAAGGCATAAATTTCTGATGAGTCAGCCACTCGTGCCCCCTTCTAGATCTCTGCTTGGGGTGGTTAACCTGCTGGAAAGTAAATTTGCCTCCGTGTACAGGACGGGCGAAAGGTAGCATGCATTTCTAAAAAATGACTACGTACTTCCAGGTGGTCTATAGTGGTGTGATTATGTTGCAGGGACCCCATGCCTAGACTCGGATAATATCCTCAAAGCAATACAGAACCGACACCATGCCTGAGAGCTGTCAATTGGTACTTGTGGTCGGAAATTGTATTCAAAGGTTTAAATAGGTTGTAAAAATGGTTGTAAAATGGTTCAAAGGTTGTAAAAATGGGATTTCGTCTACGAACGAAATCCCATTTTTACCAAGCGAAACAATCTTTGACTAGTCGCTCTAGATGGTTTCGCGCTATTGGTCGAAAGGCCAATGAAGTGCTTACCGCCCATTGAAGTCAAGCTTGTCTAATTTTCAGAGATCCCGATACTTTTTCACAAGTCTTCTTCCATATAATCTAGTACCCCTCTGGCGGCTGTTGATGGCGTCTGTAGATGGTAGCGACGTCGCCGTCGTCGATAGTTCGGCCATTATATCGGAAGATGCTCGTCTGTGATCTTGGGTCGACGCACACATGGTCTTCTTGTAGCCCTCAGAAGCGGCGATTCGTGGCCTCCCCTAGCTGGCTTGCTCGATTGGGCCTATGAGAGACTCAATACTTCCGATATCCTTCGTAGTCGTAGGCAATGACACAACAAACAGCTTTGGATGTTGAGCATTGGTCAATTCCTGCTTACTGCTCGTGGCAATGGCGGAGAGCTGCTTCACGGTCAGAAAGCGAGTGCTAAAGTTTCGTCCTTTTATTGGTAGAGATTTACTGTTGAAACAAAGAACTCTAAAGCAGTTTTATACTCGAAAAAACCCCAGAAAAACTCAAATAGAATCGGGCCGATGTTGCAAATTTTTGAAAAAAACCGTCCAGTTGGCGGGATGTAAGCTCCCGCTTATTTTCCATCGCAGGAATGTCGGAGATATTTGAGGAAGGCGCTGCCAAAGAATCAGTCGAAAATTCGAGTTCGAGATGAGTTATGACAAAAAAGGTTCAAGGTGATTTCTTTTTGACCTGTACTGTATGTACTAGTCATAAAAAGGGATACAGAAAGGCAAGGAATGTCGAAACAATGAAAGCCCTAGAAAAAAGGTATTATATAACAAACTAGTGTTTCAAAGGTTTTCCATAAGCATCACGGATGGATCGACACTGCGAATTGTATGTGGTAGAACTGGGGGTTATTTGTCAGAGCTCGTGAACAGTCATGACTACTACAATGAAATGAAAGCCAAAGCAGACTACTACAATGACGTTATTAGCGACCAACCAGGAGATGTTCTGTGTTCTTCTAGTTATGCATTACTCCATTTAGTAGAAGGGAAATATTAAGGCGTCTGAAGGTTTACTCGCTTCATTGCATTATTTTAGGACCAAGCATCATTAACTGCTGTAACAATCCTTCTGTCTGAAGAGCTCATCAACTTTCGCAATACGCAAAGGTCATACAGCTCACGCGCTCACTATGTACTGGCCATGGAGATGACGACAATTTTGCAATAAATCCCTTTAATCTAATACTTTTGAGGACCAGATCCATACTTGAAACTGAGGCTGTTTGTTAGATTAATCAGATCATGGCAGAGGACACAACAAACAATGATGAATTCGTGATGCAGCTCAAAAAAGGTGTCTTGGAAAAGACCTATTCTTTGGCCATCCACCTTCGCACACGATTTCATATCGCCTGTCCCCTCAGCTTATCGTCGCACCTTCGACTGGCTATCCAGCATTGATACTGGCGATGAGAAGTACTATTTGCCAATCAGTTCTACAATCAAAAACGGCTCAGCTCTCTTGATCATGAATTACCGACGACCAACTTCGACCAAAAAAATACTTTTGTGTATTTGCGAAACACAAAGGGAGTCGCTTATTGGGAGCTCCTACCACGCAGAAATGCTAAATCTAGTATGGAATTCCACTGAACACAGATGGACTTCCTTGAGAGTAGAAAACTGTGCTTATTGCGTCCACTAGATATGTCAAAGGATCCGAAAGAAAAAGCAAAAGCACACAAAGCGGTTCGAAAATTATGTGCCAAACTAATATGTACAATGCCTCGAACGAATCAGCGTATATACGTACATACACTGCGGTGGAGAATAGATTGCAACCTATAAAAACCTAATTTTTGAGAGGAGCCAAAACCTCTGGTGCTTCTGCCGCAGATATGCGGCTGCTTTCATAGTCCACGATCCGGCCCGCGAGCGAGCGAGCGCGCCAGCCGGGGGTAGCGCTTGCCCTTTGTTTACAACTGAACCTTGGTCGATACCGCCGGCCGAGTGGTCCCCGGCCGGCGCGCTTGCTCGTGGGCCGGATCGCGAGCTTTGAAAGCATCCTGTTAAGTTCAGAAGAGGTCAAATAATTTCGGCGTGATAATCGATAGATGACAGTGCCGTGAAAAATTCTGGCGGGGCAATATTAGTTATTTGGCGGTACACAATAGATTGGACGACTTGAGATAACTGATTTAAACGACTTTTTCTTCCCTGTATCTGGAAGCTGTACATGCTTACATATTTGTTTTTTAAGCATGCGCAAGTATGCGTGGCTCACTAACGAAGACCGGATTCGAATTAGCGCGTTATGTCACCTTGGAAAAAGTTATCTCCAAATTTCTAGAGAACTCGACATTCCTAAGAGCACAGCTGTGAGTGTCGTAAAGAATCATTTGACGGGAATCAGTACTTACTGAAAGCGGCAAGCGTCGGTTGATCAGTATGGCGTCAAATTCTACGAGAATTGCGTGGGAGTTAGCTGCAGATTGTGGGATTTCGGTTTCAAAATGGACTGTCGCTCGCGTCCTGAAGTTATTGGACCTCATAGCTTCTCAGATGATGTCTGCACCACGGCTAACACAGAGTCATCGAGAGAAACGGCTTCTCTTTGCTAGGAATGAGATGAAAAAGATTGGACAAAGATGTGC